AAAGTAGGGTGGTAGTGAGCCGCTTTATGCAGTAAAGGTAAGAAAGAACTGCTGCTTTTTGCATTTGTGCCACAAACTTTAATCTAAGTGCGAAGGTTGATTGGTGTGCATTCCAGACGGATACAGACATTTACTGGGATAATTTAAATTTGACAAACTCTACTCTACTAGTAATTGGTTATAAAGCACAATGACGTACACGTCGTCCTGTCTGAGATACCTATTAGACTTATACAAATTTACTGTCATTTTATATACACAAAATATATACAAGAAATTTTTTTGTTTTGTACAGCTTTCAGACAATGAATGAGAAGCAGCTTAGCAGTGAAATAAACAAAACATTAGCTTTGTGCTTGGCTGCCTTTGCACTCACAATGGGATAAACCTCTTGAGAGGTGATGCAAAATTTCTCCCAAAGTTATATATAAACATATTTAAAATAAATATTCCATAATTTGTATGGTCGATTTTTAGGGCAAAGACCCAGATGAGAAGACACATAGACTTTCCTTGGCTAGTTCTCCCTCATAGTTCCTCTTTTTCTTTTTAGTTAAATAAGATGTAAAAGTTTTCTTCTATTAACAGAATTTCTCTATTTTTCCACTTTAAGCTATAGTTTTTTTCAATAAATTTCTACGTTTTCTTTCTGTCGGGCAGTCTTGGAGACTGTGTTTCATTTGTATTGTCTGTCAACATGAGGTGAATCAAAAATGTCATGTAATGTCACAAGAGTAAAACCGGTACAATCATGAACGTTTTTGTTCATCTGCAGGTAAAATAGCTTGTTGAGCAACTTTGTCACATTTTAAATGGGGATAAAATGTCTCAAATCGACTAAACATGTAAATACTGAGTATAAATACCATCAGTTTGTCTTGTTTGTTTGAAATAACGGGTGATCAGATAAGGTGAGGTCGTAGATAGGACAAATGTTTCCGGTTTCCACGCAGACACATCATCCTCCCCTTTCCCTCCGGTCAGTAAGGTAGTCTTCAAAACATCGACTGCATGCGGCCGGCTCCAGGTGGGAAACCCTGCTGTTCTGCAGGAGTTCACAGGTAAGGGAGCGCTGTGGCTGGAGCTCCGTCAGAACTCATGAAGGTTATTGAAGTTTCTGGAGCACAATCAATACAGGAAGTATACACAGCCCCTCTTTGATGGCCAAGGACACTTGGAGATTTAAACTTCAAGCTAGCAGCCAGGGATATCAGTCAATATGTTTTGTGACAAGAGACTTGCCAAGGGATTTAGTAGGAAAGCAGCCGATTTCTGTTAAGCCTTGAGAAAGGAACAAAGTGGATATTGTTCTCGGCTGCTTTTCAAGGCTTCTTCAAGTGTGAGCTGGATGGAAGCAGGAAAAAGTGACGATATTTATGCCTTTGGTTTTAGCCAATTGACTGCTGGGTTTACACTATGTCAAGTGCACACCTGCAAAGCTTTGAGCGATGCTCTCCTAATTGCTCTAATTCTTTGGCTGCTGGGGCCTAATAGAAGGTGAGTACACTCTTCCTTCAAACGTGGATGAAAGCATCAGGACGTTTTAGTGGTGAGCGAATGGAAGGGGGTGCGACTAATGATTTACAGTGGCAGACTTCCATTAAGCTTCTCTCCCTTTTAATTTAACTTTGCACTCAGGCAGTGGACTGATTTGAGTTTGGGACACGACCCAAGCAATTCATGTGCACAACAACTTTGATTGGATAGTTTTGGTGGAAATGATTGTTAAGGAAGCCCTGCAGAGAGAGGCTTTCTTTTTTCTTTTATTGGTGGCGTGTCAGGCACGCATACACCTACACAAACAAACATGCACTTTTGAACTCTTGTTCTTTGTTGTGTAATTTGCTGGGATAACTATTCAAATGTTCCACATGCTTGTTTTTTTTATCTACTTTTTACATTTTAAATGGATTTAGCCTTTTTATATCTTCCCCTACTATTTTATTGAACAACCATCTGACTTTTTAATGAAAGTCATCCCTGCTAATTTACGAAATCAAGAATACCAGTCAGGATGCTGCTAAATTGAAAAGACTGCAGATGCGATGCTATAGGCTCCTTCTTTAACCAGACAGAAATGTGGAAAAATAGTGTTTACCTTGCATTCTAGGGAGAAAGTGGGGAAGAGAGTTTAAAGATTACAGTTCATGTCTGCGAATCCTCATTTGAAGCTCTTCAATACTTGCGCTGCTCACGTCAGACCTTATCAAAGCTCCAGGGGTTTAACTAAATTAGAACAGGCACCCATTTGGAACTGGGCTCTGGGACCAATTACTAATTATCATTGTGGACAATTGAATTCGTTTACTTGTGTCTGTAGAGCGGTGTGTTTGTGTTATGTTCAGGGAGCAGTCAATGAAGCATCTTTTTGTTTTGGTAACCACAGTCATTTAGCTGATCTTGTCTTTATCTTTTGTTCACATTGTCTCTGAATTTCTCCTCTTTCTGCATTCTCATACAGCCCTGGAATTTGGTTATAACACAATTTTGCTGTCATTTTGTGTTTTTTTTCCCCATCGGTTTAAACTTGGTGTTGTGTAACAACACAAAATTCTTGTGTTTTTAACCATTTAATCCTCTATAAATTAATTATTCTTTACTTTTTTCTGTATATTTATTTTCCTTAATTTATTTTAACGTATTCAAATGTGTTGAAACCAACTCTTTAAGTCTTTGAGCTGATTTATTTAAAGTGTAGCTGGAACTTTGTTTGATCTAAGGCCGGAACATTTCATCAGATTAATTGTGATTAATTAATTATTAATATAATCTAAAGCTTATTCAGTAATTAATTTAGTTATATTTTAGGCAATATTTTCACGGATCGGTCTTTAAAATATGGGGGGTAAATACAATCAAATAAAATGGTGAGACTGGCATAAAATCAAATATGAACAGCATAAAAATAAAACTCACCATTATGTTGAATTAGTGAGAGCCCTGAGCTTGTTCCTCCGAAACGTGCTCCTAATGTCCTGTCTGCTCTGTAGCTTTGTTTTGGTCGCTGTAACCGCAGAAAATACCACTTGTGCAGCCCGGTACCAAATGACTGAAGGACTGGTACCGGTCCATGGCCCGGTGGTTGGGGACCGCTGCTTTACTGGATATGACCTATCCAGATCTCCACAATTGGAAAGGTTTTAGTTTGGTTTAATTCTGTAAAATAATGTTCTTTAAGGAACCTTTGGCTATCCGATTATTAATCGATTATTCTAAAAAAAATAACCAACAGATTAATCGATTAGCAAAATAATCATTACTTGCTCCCTAGTTTGATCAATTGGTAACAAAACATTTGATTTTGATGCTAAAGTTTTTCCGTAACATTAAATAAACTTTAAGAGTTTAGTCCCTTCAGACCAAAGTAATCTCCATACTTAGTGTGGGTTAAAACAACTTTCTCATTAACAACTATTTATTTTCCATCATTATCTCTTTCTCTTACACCCTCTATCATTTTTATCATCTGCCTCCCATCACTCTCTACGTCCTAACAGTCCAGTTAATTGCCTGCAAAGTTCACTCTGACTCTGGGCTAATGCAATTTAAGAGGGGTCGGAGCCCCTTCATCAGCCCAGTGATGGCATTTCATTAACTCTGCTTGGGTCTCGGCTCGCAAGCGAGCAGGGGGGTTTCACTCCATCGGCTCATCATTAGTAATTAATACACTGATGGGATTAGCTGCAGCACGACGCCGGTGGCAAGTGGTCACCGCACTGTTGCAAGTTCGGGACAGCACTTGCTGTCAGGGCGTCAAGCTCTGCTTTTGAGTTTGGGAAACTGTGTTGGGAAGTAATTAGTTGGTAGAAGATGGTGAATGAACACTTGTTTTTTGCAATGAGCCAAAAAATTCAACTTGATTTAGGTTTTCTTTAAAGTTTTTGGAAGTTCACTTAATAGTTTTAACCCCTCTAAATAATCTTTAATTTATCCGTAGCTTTGAAAAAACAACAACTTCCTTTTATAAGGTTGCTTCTTTGTGAACTTGGACCAGATATCAGTTCTAGCATGGGAGGCTTTCCCATGCATGACAGGGAATGCTCTGCACAGCGTTAATTACATCATTATGGTCGGGATGGATCTCCATCTGCTCAGCCATTACTCCTGTCCCATTCTGGGTTGACCCACACTGCGCTTCAGAATTAGACACACACAGGCTAAATGGCCTTGATAAATTATGAAGCTATTAGATATGGGAGGCTATTTTGGAACATATGCATTCACAGAGAGGAATGAAGGGTGGGCGATTGAGAAGCAAATACGAACCAAGGGAAGATGGAGAAAGAAAGGGGGGAAAAAATAGAAATGTGAGAAATGAGAGTTGAAGCTTAAAGAGACTTTGAAAAATGAGAGCAAATGAAAGCAGCGGAGGGAACGTACGGATAGAATGATGGAGGAAGTGAACTTTTTCTGTCTGGACAGAGTTTCAATGTGCCTATTCCAGACTATTGTTAGACGTTGATAAGATTTTTATGAAGCGTGATCAGACGTTGATGGATTTTAGCATTGATCATGTAGACAGATCAGGGAACGGGAATGGGAGAAAAAAAGGTGTTCATATCATGTCTGGAGATTTTTACTATATTAGGGTTGGATCCTTTGCAGCATCTTTGATAAGACTGAGAAAAATACAAGTATAATATCTTCATAATATCAGTGTATTATTATTACATTTTTCTATTATGTCTCTATAGGTTATTACCCAGTAGCCGGACAGCATCATTTCAAACATTGTCACATTCGCTTTATGTCAGAAGCCACATCTATCAATGACTTGAGGTGTTAAGACAGAAATATGCAACTAAAGCTAAATGTTTAGGTTCTGGAAATATGCGCAACATTTTCATTGTAATGGCTTCATAAAACAATAAAGTGATGTTGAACATCGACGTTACTGCCTATTTTTTTTTTATGTTAGCGTTTTTTTACTTGTTATGTCTACAGAAAGATTACATTGACAGATACAACACAAACGGTCTCTATTCTCCTGTGTATTTAAGGTTCTGTTGATGGAGTATCTGGATGTGAAGAACAGCCGCAGTTCCACTGAGCAGACTGCTCAGCTCTCCTATGCGAGCACTGGCAGTGAGTTTGCCGCCTTCTTTGCGAAGAAAAAACCCCAGCGTGCCAAACAGTCGCTGTTCAAGTAAGAATCGCATTCTTGGTTTGATAGTTGATACAGGATTTCATGTGGTTAAAGGTTTGAAATCATCTTGGAAATGAATATAAACTATTGATTGTGTGCAAAAGATTGACTTTACTGTACCTGTTGTCTGTTTTCTTAATTTCTTATAACGAAAAACACGAAATTACACTAAAGTAGCAAAGATTGTAATAAAGTTGCTTTAACAAATACAGGTTAAAATGTAATTCTTTTTATTAGTACATGCGATGCGGTATCCCTTGATTGATCTGAATGACAGGAATGGTGACTCAGGGGGTTTGTGACAGTTCAATCAATCATTAAGGACATGTCATCTTGGCCTTTTTTATCGACAAACAATGTAGGTTACAGTGGAAAAAGCCTGATTAGGTTGTTAACTATTTCAAAATTACAATCTACATAACCAATAATTAGAAGAACCTGTGTGAATGATATACTGGAAATATATGTTTTTTTACATAAAAAAAAAATTATGAAAAAACAGAAGTTCCCTTCAGATTAACTCTTTTTTTAAAGAAAACCTGGCTTAGTAGTACATGGCTACAAGGTTGAAATGACCATCAATATGCAAAAGCAAAATAGAACAAGTGTTAATCTAAAATATGTTCAAGTTAAGTTTCAGTGGTTCTCTTCTGTCATGAAATCTACATAACTGCTTTGAATTCAATCACAGAAACAATCCTATTACACTTCAGTGTAGTACAGTGGTCTCCAACCCTGGTCCTCAATATCTACTGTCCTACAGATTTTAGATGCATCCCTGCTTCAACACAGCTGAATCAAATGATTGATTACCTTTTCAAGCCATTAATTTGATTCAGCTGTGTTGAAGCAGGGATGCATCTAAAATCTGTAGGACAGTAGATCTTGAGGACCAGGGTTGGAGACCACTGGTGTAGTAGTAATGGGAAGTTTGGTTCTTTCAGAGACTCCCTAAGAAGAGGCTCCAAAACTGCTCTCTATTTATTAAGATCTTATTGTAACTCAAGATGGTAAATAATAGTAAGTTTTTTTTATGTTAATACATCATTTTGAACTGTGTTTTTATGAGAAGCTCTATATTTTCCTAACTTTATGTATTTGTTTATTTATATATATTTTTCAAACTTTTACTAATCACAGAAATAAATGAAACAATCACTGCAAACAAATCCATAGAACGAAACATAACAGAAACAAAAGAAAACCTTACCTAGCTTCACGGAGACTTGGGAAAAAAAAAAAAGAAAAATAGCTTTAGTTTGGTTAACATTAATCCTGCTCTTTAAATCTTTATAAAGATGCCTGCAGGAGCTTAAAGGACGTTTTGAAGCTAAGCAATTTGCCTCCAAATGAGACCAGCTGAGTAGAGTATAATATCATCTGCATAACGGTAAACTTTAGCTGAAGACGCATCGTTTCCAAGCAATTGATAAGAATGGAAAAGTAATTAAAGCCTACAACATTGCCTTGGGGGACTTCTTTTATAATTTTATAAATTTTATACGATATTACTGCAGCTGTTTAAACTCAACACATATATTGGTTGTTTTTTGAAATAATAGAAATATCTAATTTCTGTTCTAATAAAATTTTGTATTTTTATTTTCCTAATTATCAGATCTGTCAAAAATGGATGAATAATAACTAAGGAATTCTTGTGTTTTTTTTTTTCAGTCATTAGTTGTGCTGCTGATTATAACTAAATCCTTCATTTCATTTGTAGGTTTGAATCATCGTCCCATGCAATCAGCATGAGTGCCTACCTGAGGGAACAAAGAAGGGAACTTTACAGCAAAAGCGGAGAATTACAAGGTGAGGAGAGGATAATGTAAACAGGACAAATGAAATAGTGGTGAAAATGCTGCTGAGATGAATCTGAAACTGTGAAGTGATAAGATTTTGGAGTATGTTGCATTGGAAGAAAGGAGTACTCAAAAGTGGTGAGGTTTGGTCACGGTTTGTAAAGGTGGAGGGATTCACTCAGATGCTGATTGAGGTGAAGAGTTGGAATTGGGAGAATGAAAGGGGAGGGAGTAATGGGGCTCAGACACAGAAAGGACATGTCACAGTTCGAGGAGTTGCACTTAGGAACCAAAAAAAAAAAAAAAAGGCAGACAACAGGAGTGTGGAGCGCCAAGCAGCGATAGAGAAAGAGATTGACGAGATGCAGAGAACAGGGTGACTTTGCAGAATCCGCCTACAGGGAGAAGCCCTTAAAAAGCTCTCGCTCACACATTCACACGCACAAAATAGCTCAGTTAGTGAGCTACACAGCTGGACCCTGGAGAGCCTGAACGGTGCTGCTGCCCCTACCTCTTGTGTTTTTCCTCTTCTCATGCTCTCTGTTCGTCCGCCTGTGACCTTGAGGTTTCAATCAGCAATGCCTGATGGCGATGTTTGCTGTCTGCTGCCATACCTTTTTTTCTTATCCAACTATTGGTTGACTCTTGATGGGTAAAAAAATATTGACGGAATAAATTTTGGTTTCCATACTTATTGAATCCACTGCTTTGACTTCCTTATTTACCTTCTTACAGAAATCTTCTGTTGTGTCACTCAGATACAAGCTATACTTCCCCACTCTTTTTTTTCTTGTTAAAGCACCTAAAAACAAGCATGGCTGCAAAAAAGACCTGCACATGCACAACAAGAAAACTAAAATATCAAATAAATTAAATACAATCAGAACAAACAAACAAAAGTCTAATTTGGTGTAAATAGCCAAAGAATACAAATTTCAAAGTGGACCATAAAGGGGCTCGTCTAATTTCGACAGTGAGGTCATTCCGTACCCCTGAAAGAGTAGCACTAAAAGCTCCCCCCCCCCCTGAGCTTTCCTTTAGACCTTTGTACCTCCAGGAGCAGCTGATCTGAAATATCGAGCAGTGAAGTAAGAATTGAGCAGCTCAGAAAGGTGGGGAAAGATCATGTTAACTTTAAAAACAAATAGCCGAATGTTAAATGGATTTCTAGAAGGCAGCTGGTGGAAGGAAGCCATGATGAGGGTGATGTGCTCCCCCTTACCAGCTCTAGTCAGAAGCCTGGCGGCAGCATTCTGCCCCACCTGGAGTTGTTTCAGGGAGGACTTGCTTATTCCAAGAGAAAGTCCATCACAGTAGTCCAGCCAAGAAATAATTGACTGTTGTTTCAGGCTTTACCTCAGCCAACCGCCTTAGATAATAAATACTGGAGTCTACAACTGCTCCAACCCAACCATCTAATTTAAACAGATATGATCAAAACCCAAATTGGCTTAGATGTTCAGATCTGTGTGTGACTTCAGTATCTGTATTTCCAGTATGACAACCAATAGCAGGTTTTTTCCTTGGATCTGTTTTTTTGTGGATAATTGTTCCCACTACAGTTAGATAGAGTCCTGAAGCCTTAGAAACCACCAAGCTGACATTTTCACAATGGAACAAGGATTCTTTATATATATATTAGGGTTTCGCTGATACCGATAATGCACTAAAATGGTGGTATTGGTATTGGTGAGTACTGACAAATAGGGCACCGATAACATTTTGAGAGCCAAAAATGTATTCAACGATTGTCACCCATTCCAGGTAGACAATAAAAAGTTCTACTGGATTCACTTTGTATTAGTCTTTTTCACAAAGGTAGCCAGCAGCTTGACAAATCCATGATGGCAATTATTTTACATCCAAGTAGTATGCAGTTCTTCATATATACACACACACATCAATTTCATACAGAAATTTAAGAAATGTAACTCTAATTCCTGATTTTTAGGGTGGTAAATATATTTGCATGTAGCCCTGGATATTATATATATTAGATATATATTTATGCTTTATTAAATAAAAGTTGCTGCTGCTTTTTGTAATCAGTTAGATTGGCTTTGTTCAATTTCTTGGATCATTTAATGATCTACATCATGTATGTGTGACAAAAAAGGAAACCAGAACAAAGTTCTAACAGAGCAAATACAGCACAATGTGAGCTATATTGAAAACTGATTCGACCTACCATCATGGCAGACATTCTAATGCATTCTTTATTTCCTACTTTAGCTGCAATAGTTCAATACGCACAAGGCTGTAAATATAAACCAGAAGAACAGCATTGATTAACTGTGGATAAAAGAAAACTCTAAATAGTCTCAGCATAAAGCCCCTTTTTTTTTTTCTGCTTCCATCTGCCGGCGCCTAAGAAAGAAGGTGGAAAACTATATTTTTTGACTGAATGAATGCCTCGGAGCGCTTATAAGAAGATGAGATTCCTCTTGGCTTTCATTTCACCTGTCACAATGTGTCGCACCGTTCGTGAGCCCGAGTCTCGGCCTGAATGGCTGAAAAGAGATTGAAAGAGTAAGAAATCATTTAGAAAGTGAAATAAGTCGACTGTGATGGAGGGAGAGGAAAGATGGATGGGGGGAGGGAGGGAGGGAGTAGGAGGAAGGTTAAAAGTCATTGTTTTCATCAGGGTCCAGTGAAGAAGCCATTAAGAGACTTCAGAGGGAAGAAATTAAAAGAAAATATGTACTGAGACTGTGTGGAAAGGGACTTTTTCCTATTTTCATATTAAACTTATTGGACAGGCAGGAGAGAAAAAGAGTTTGAGTTGATGAATTCTTTCGGCTTTGGGATTACTCTACACTTAGAGATCAGTCATGTGTGTCTGCTGCTTGGTGTTTTCTAAAGTCTTTTCTTTTTCCTCCAATGTTCTACTTCAAGTTAGTGCGGTTAATAACTCCAGCAACAAAGTAAGTAGCCTTAAAAGCTTTTTGTTGCCATTCTTGTAGTTCTTTCCTCCACCTATGCACTATTAATTAATGCTTAAAAACAATAATTAATATTATAGCTCACAAAGTTATTTAGTTTGAACTAAAATTGATTTATGTTTGACTAATATTTTAAAATCCTCAGTCAACTTGCCACTTTAAATAGTACTTACATTTTTTACCTTCAAAAGTTCTTTAAGAGCCCAACCAATGTTGTTTTTAATAAACACTGTTTGGCAAAACTGTTCATGCTTTTAGTTAACATGAGGTCATATTAGAACTCCAAACTTTGGTCTATTTTGGAGGTTTTATGTTATAGAACATCACTAACAATTGCATCACTATGTAGTAAAATGTATACTAAAAAGGTGTACTGTACTTTAAAAAAAATCTTGGAATAAAATTCAGTCCATCCGTCTGCTTTGTGAGGGATGCAATCAACTGGTTTTCCTTGGATAGAAAACTTTGAATCAATTTGACTGTATGATCTGGTTGAACTGTAAAGTGCCTTGAGATGACTTGTGTTGTGAATTGGCGCTATATAAATAAACTGAATTGAATTGAATTGAATTTCAGAGGTCAAGCAGAGCCACCTGTGTGTGAGTGAATCTCAGTATGAATCCAACTGATCCGTGAAGCCTAAGAGGATCATTAGTAAACAAACCGCATCCTGAAGGCCAAATACTAACTTTTAAAAACACAATGCCCTTGAATAAATTTTTTCTAAGTAATGAGCCTAAATGAGCCTCTTTCCCACTGAAAATGCCGGGTTAACCCTTGTTTTTTAAGCATGGGTCAAACAGCTAACAATCGGCATATGGCTCCCTTCCCACCGGCAAAAAAATCTGGGTCTAACCCCCCCCGCCAGCCTTCGTGGTCTCTGTCCACCCGCAGCTGCTGTCTGGCGACACCATCGCGCTATGTTTGCATTCATGATGTCACACGTGCAACAGAAATCAGGAAAGTAAACAATGAAGAGCAACATGTAAGGAAGCCATGGTGTAGTCAGTATGCTTTATTGTTTTGCTCTATTACCTTTCCAAATCTCTCCTTTCAGTGCTGCTCCATGTTTATCGAATGTTAACAGAATTGTTTCAGATTTTTAGATCAGATGCGACTGGTGCAGTGTGTTGACGTCCGTACTTTGCATTCAGTGGTGTCACATAATTTAGCAGGTCAACCCGGCTCTGGTGTTCCCACAGTTTGCCAATCAGAGCTGAGGAGATTATAACGCAGGTTGCTTGCTGAGTTGTTTGACCCGGGTAGACACACGTCAGTAAGCTGTTCCCACTGACACTAAAAAACGATTGTTCTGGGCTTAAACAGGTTCTTCGACCACTGGGAAGGGGGTATGAATGTATGACTGCTGATAAGATCAGGAGTGCAACATGCTCAGGTTTCAAAAAACAGTTGGGTGTTTAAGTGATGGTGACATGCTGGCGCCTAAATTGAGATTTTGGTGCCAAATTAATAATAATTGAACTTTATTGATCTCACATTGGAGAAATTTAGCTCTGCATTTAACCCATCCTCTGGAGAGGCAGCATTGGGCTGCCATTGTGTGGCGCCCGGGGAACAATCAGGGAGTTAAAGGTTTTGCTCAGGAGAGTCAAATCCTTCATCAACATCAAATGGGATCAGTGATGTTTAGGGACAACTACAGTTATATACCAGTTATGGACATTTTTCTAATAAAGGATTGGTTCATAGTTTGGTGTATTTGCCTTTTTCTCTTGCAGAGGTTTCCTCAGTTTATGTAACTAAGAAACAAGGAACTTGTATTAACATAGTCATGCGTTATGGGTTTGTGTTTTCAGAACTCTAATGGGTTTGAAATTAATCTGTAATGTATGTAATTCATTTCTCCTGAGTGTTGTAGAGACCTCCCATCTATCATTTTTGTACACACATAAAGCTGCATAGGCGCTCATTCACATGCAACAAATATACATGCAAAGCACAGGGAGACTTAATTGGGCTCCTTCTCATTGTGTATGCTTCAATTAGTCCAGTGCTTCATCTAAAGACTTCATTACAGCTCCATATGTGGCCACATCTGGAATTTGTG